TTTTATATAACTTGTGACACCAATGCGCAGGTGTCAGGAGGCCAATGAAGGAGGAATTATCTTAAAGGGGCTGCACCCTGTTACACCCTTCTCCTCCTTTAACCCTTACATTGTTTACCCCTGCCCCCACCCAATGAGGTTACCTCAATTTGCACCCACACATTGAGTTCATCTTCTAATATAGGATATAATGTATCTTTCCTCACTTTGCTCACAGAATTCTACATACTGAATCTAAAGTCAAGTCTTACTGCTCACGTGTTGTGAAAGGCGTATCTTGTAATGTTGTATCTTTATTCAAAACTTTTAGTAATGATGGATTGAATCATAAATTGTTATCATTGGAGTTTTGTTTCATAGAGTGAATCAGACACCATTCAACCCCCATGCAATTCTTCTCTATCTCAGTCCCGTGTTTTAAAGCCCATTCACCAATCCCGCGGCAAGCGGCGGTTCAATGACTCACACAACACAATCCGAGTGACCCGCTGCATTGACGACGAGTAAAGTGCGGCTTAGAAACATTATCTGGAGTTCACTTCTCTGGGAACCGACCGTCCTTGGCATTTTCTGTCCATACAGAAAATGAGCGCATTGTATGGATGAATTCATCAACATCACGTGTCATGCGTGCCGCGGACGGCAATTATGGGAATAAAACGCTGCGGCTTGTACTTTTCCTCTCTGTCACTATGACAGCGCAGCAGACTGGAAGGGCCTTGAAACATTAACAACGCAATTTTCATCAACTGTTTTGGGTAAAAGAAGTTTTAATATTTATCAGTGAAAGCAAACTTGTCATAGGAGGATCGCACAACCCTTCTGAAAATGCCTATTCCCTGGCCCTCATCCTGATCCTAGTGTAGTGCAATCCTATCTGCCCCCTTTAGAGCACACAGAGCCAGGCACACCACATTTTCTTTATTTTACCACTGGCTCAGAAAGAAGTCTAGGGGTTTGTTTTAGGGTTTTTTTCATTGTGAACAATGAACTGGGAATGGAGTTGGGAGTATGGGATACTCTGGAAACTGTAGACCTGGGTAACTTGAGGACTCAATTTCTGGCTACACTGAACACACTGTTGGATGCAATGTACAAGGCTGGATGTCCCACAGGATCTCTGTGCTGCTGGTGACCTCTACTTCTTTCAGAGCTAAAGCTACACACAATCACTTTTGTGTCTTCAGCTGACATAGCTACAGGATCATTGATTGCCTCCTGCTGATATCCACCAGGCTCTTCTCAGTAAGGGAGATATAGACTCACACCGCCATAGGACAGATGGACTCTTTTATACCAACTTCCTTCTGGCACTCTCCACTGAACTTCCTCCAGACCCAACTTGATCCCTGGACACAGATCTGCAAATAGGCCCCCCAGCTAACATAGCTGGGACCTTGGTGTCTTCTTCAAGACTTCAGCTAAGCCTAGCTCAGACCTTGGTGTCTTCTTCAAGACTTCAGCTAAGTCTAGCTGGGATCCTGGTGTCTTCTTCAAGGCTTCAGCTAAGCCAAGCTGGGACCTTGGTGTCTTCTTCAAGACTTAAGCTAAGCCTAGTTGGGACCTTGGTGTCTTCTTCAAGACTTCAGCTAAGCCTAGCTGGGACCTTGGTGTCTTCTTCAAGACTTCAGCTAAGCCTAGCTGGGACCTTGGTGTCTTCTTAAAGACTTCAATTAAGCCTAGTTCAGACCTTGGTGTCTTCTTCAAGACTTCAGCTAAGCCTATCTAGAACCTTAGTATCTTCTGCAAGACTTCAGCTAAGCCAAGCTGGGACCTTGGTGTCTTCTACAAGATTTCAGCTAAGCCAAGCTGGGACCTTGGTGTCTTCTTCAAGACTTCATCTTGGACTCTGCACCTAGAGGCAGAGCCACTGCACAATGGTCTCCTCCTGCAGGACTGGTCCCATGAACATTGCACCCTGCTGTTTAGGCCTCAGGCTGTTTCTCACCACCTTCTGGGCACACCTCTCCAGGGATTGGCTGGAGTTTTATAAATATTCAGACTACCTGTTCTGTCCTTCCCCCCACTATACTACTAGAATCCTCCTGAACAGGGGTCTCCAAAACTTTCTAAACAAAGAGCCAATTTACTGGCCTTCAGACTTCAGAGGGGCTGGACTGTGACCAGTGGGAGTAGAAATTGTCCTAGTGTCAGTGGGAGCAAAAAAATGCATGTTTGGTATTAGGAGGAGGAATAGTGCATCATGGTTGGTGTCAGTGGGAGGAATAGTGCCCTATGGTTGGTATAGGTGAGAGGAATAGTGCCCCATGGTCGGTATCAGTGGGAGGAATAGTGCTCCATGGTTGGTGTCAGTGGGAGAAATAGTGCCCCATGGTTGGTATCAGTGGGAGGAATAGTGCCCCATAGTTGGTGTCAGTGGGAGGAATAGTGCCTCCTTGCTGGTGTTAGTAGAGGGAATAATACCTAAACGTTGGTCTCCGTGGGAGGAATAGTGCCCCAATGTCTGTGTCAGTGGAAGGCATAGTGCCCTATTGTTGGTGTCAGTGGGAGGAATAGTGGCTCATCATTGGTGTCAGTAGGAGGAATAGTGCCTCAACATTGGTGTCAGTGGGTGGAATAGTGCCCCATCATTGCTGTCAATGGGTGGAATAGTGCCTCATCATTAATGTCAGTGGGTGGAATAGTGGCTCATCATTGGTGTCAGTGGGTGGAATAGTGGCTCATCATTGGTGTCAGTGGGTTGAATAGTGGCTCATCATTGGTGTCAGTGGTTGGAATAGTGGCTCATCATTGGTGTCAGTGGGAGGAATAGCGTCTTGTATCAGTGGAAGGAAAAGTGATCTACGGGCCAGATAAGGCCAGCAAAGGGCCACAGTTTGGAGACAACTGCTCTAGAAGACAGGGAGAAGTACAGCAGCCTGTGACACACTGAGCAGCCCTAGATAATCAGCCCCTGCTCCACTGATTACAGAGGAGCCAACTAAATGTACCTGTCAGCCTGCTCTATACCAGGAGGGTGCTATACTAGCTCAGCACATTGTGACACAGGATGAGTACAGACCACTTGTTTCTTGGGGCCGTATACACACTCCTCATATATTGGGTGACCTGGATGGAAAAGGTGATGCTGTGCAGATCATGGACAGAGCTGAGGCTGCAGATAACAAGCGGGATCTCTGCAATAGCAGTCATTCAATGTCTCCTGATATCTTTTCTAGTTGGCATTCAAGCCAATTTGCATTGTAAGATTGGAAAGCCCAAGGCTTCTTTAATAAAGTGCCAATAAGGTACCCCCCGCAGACCCACACGGAGCCGTACATGGATTAGGATGCTATAAAAAGAATGTCATTAGCTTTAAAGCTGAAGTTTAATCTTCTTATATTTTGCCTTCCCAGTTCCTTCCTATCCCCTTATCAACATGATAATGAAATCTTTCTGTTTTATTACATGCCTTTTTTAAATCAAGTGATGTCATCATTGGGTCTCTGTGCTTCTCAATACAATCCAGGCACATCATAGCTAGTGGGAGGGGCCAACAGGGTGCTGTACATAGCTTCCTGAAAACTTCACAGCACCCTGCCTGTCAGGAATCTAGGAGTGACGAGAAAGGTGTGGACTGACACAGGGAAACGCAGCCCTGAGGTACAGTATAATACAGTTTATTATTAGCCACCCAGATATATATATATATATATATATATATATATATAAACGCACAGTGAGCAAACCAACCTTCCACTAATCTTAGGAGGTGCAGGAACACAGGCGTAGTCAGGGCTGGAGAGGTGGAATGGTCAGGCCGGCCGTAGGGTTCTGTAATGACCGTTTGGTGGTACCTCTAGCGATCCTCAGGACAGGATTCCCCAGGGCGCGGAGTCTAAGTCCCAGCCTGCTTATTCACCAGGGCCCCTGATGGTGGGGATGGACTTGGAGCAGACAGGAACCAGGTCGCGGCCCCTGAGTACACCTGCTAGTGGTAGAGGGATCCGCCAGAGGTATGTGCAGGTAGGAAGCCTGATGTGAAGAGGCAGAAGGTGTGAGCAGGGATGGCTGGATCCGTGCAGGATGGATGTATGGCAGAGTAGTTAGCGTGGTCAGACGGGCCAGGTCAGCAACATGCGGGCAGCAAGGTACCAAAAGAGCCTGCAGAGAATGGTCAGGGTCACAAGCTGGGTTCAGTAACTCACGGGCAGCGCGGTACAGGGGATCAGGCAGAAGGATGGTCAGGCAAGCCAGGGGTTCAACAGGAGACGGTCAGCAGAGGTCAGGATCAAGCAGGGTCAGCAACGAAGCAGAAACACAAGATACCAGGTACAGGGGCTCATGGGAAAACATACACCAAGGCCCAGATCACAGGCCTGGTCATGCCTTAAATACACCTTCTGCAATCAGCCCCAGGTTTGGCTGATTGCAGGAGTGAGCTTCTGGCTGCTGAGAGCACCCGCTGGTCAGCTCTGGTACTGCAGCCCACACGGCAGGTGAGTCCCACCACCAGTGCTGAGTCCATTCCTGACAGTACCCCCCCCTCAAGGAGCGGCCTCAGGACGCTCCAAACAGTCCTTAGTGGGCAAAATGTTCCACCGCCCGGGTCAGGTATCTGGCTGAATATCCTACTGCCGGAGTAAACCGACTGGCTGGGTTTCCTGCTGGTAGACTTCTCTTTTTGTAGGAGAACCCAGGAAGGCAGGTCACTGGGCACAGGATTTCCAGGAGCAGGCTGGGAATCAGTTATTGGCCAGTTTAACTGGACATCAGGGGCTGGGATGTTGGGCTGCGCAGCAGGCAGAGGCACGTTAGCGGGCACCAAGTCATCTGGCACGACAGCGGGCACTGAGTCACCAGGCACCGAGCCATCTAGCAGAACCGCGGGCACAGAGTCACCTGGCAAGTCAGCGGGCACCGAGTCACCGGGCATGTCAGCGAGTACCGAGCCATCTAGCAGAACCGCGGGTACCGGGTCACCAAGCTCGACAGCGGGCACCGAGTCAACTGGCACGACAGCGGGCACCGAGTCACCGGGCATGTCAGCGGGCACCGAGCCATCTAGCAGAACCGTGGGTACCGGGTCACCAAGCTCGACAGCGGGCACCGAGTCAACTGGCACGACAGCGGGCACCGAGTCAACTGGCACGACAGCGGGCACCGAGTCATCAGGCATCGGGTCATGTGGCTCAACAGCGGGCATTGGGTCCTCAGGCATCAGGTCATCTGGCTCGACTGCAGGCATTGTGTCAACTGGCACGACAGCGGGCACCGAGTCATCAGGCATCAAGTCATCCGGCTCAACAGCGGGCACCAAGTCAACTGGCACGACAGTGGGCACCGAGTCAACTGGCACCGAGTCAACTGGTACGACAGCGGGCACCAAGTCAACTGGCACCGAGTCAACTGGCACGACAGCGGGCACCGAGTCACCGGGCATCAAGACATCTGGCTCAACAGCGGGCACCGAGTAAACTGGCACGACAGCGGGCACAGAGTCATCAGGCATCAAGTCATCTGGCTCAACAGCGGGCACTGAGTCAACTGGCAGGATGGTACAACGAGTGGGAGCAGGGTACTGACATGTGGTAGATAGCAGGGTATACTGGGCTGTCACTGGGGGTGCTGTCGGGAATGCAGGAAAAGAGCTTTGAGTAGAGGAATGATGAGAAGCAGGACTGGTTAGTTGCAAGCTGACTGAGGCTGGGTGTAACAAGTCTGACCATGTCTGCAGTAAGGGTTGGACAACGCTCAGCTTACACAAGGCCTGTCTGGTCAAAGATTGCACTGCGTTTATACACTTCTTTAGCACATGTGGTGAACATGCTGAATAATGCTCCAAGAAGCAATCCGGATCATCCTCCAACAACCATACCAGTGATATTATTTGACTCGCCCTGAATGGAGGAAGAAAGGCATTCCTGCTTTCAGGGGTACTAGATGAAGCCAACTCAACACAAGCCTGAATCAATGGTTGCACCTCAGAGAGCTCTAGGTCCTGACCTACTAGGGAATGAGCGACCCGTATGCACTCTAGCAGCTGATCCTTGGTATACTCCCGCAGAGTCTGATAGGCATATTCTCTGTCATCAAAGACTAGCATAGACAAATACACAACCTCCTCAGGATGCATCCTTCACAACAAGTCAAGATGGCTTCCCTGTGCAGCCACTTCTGGTCAGGAAAGGCCTTGGTGTGATGTCAGGAGACGGTCAGCAGAGGTCAGGATCAAGCAGGGTCAGCAACGAAGCAGGAACACAAGATACCAGGTACAGGGGCTCATGGGAAAACCATACACCAAGGCCCAGATCACAGGCCTGGTCATGCCTTAAATACACCTTTTGCAATCAGCCCCAGGTTTGGCTGATTGCAGGAGTGAGCTTCTGGCTGCTGAGAGCACCCGCTGGTCAGCTCTGGTACTGCAGCCCACATGGCAGGTGAGTCCCACCACCAGTGCTGAGTCCATTCCTGACACTGCCTCAGTCCTGATGCAAACAGTGGGGGGGGGGGTTATGCAAATATCAAAATGTCCACCTGGGTTTGTGGAGAAGTGGGGGTTGATAGGCAGACTGCATTTGCATTGTAACACCCACATGATGCTGGGTCCCTATGATTGACAGAACCAAAATCCAATGAATGAAAGGGGTGGCCCAGGGACACGCAGGCTGAGCTGCGAAATGAGGCGGGGCTCTATCTGATGTTTGAGAAAGGCTGTGGCCGAAACGCGTCAGCTTTTATGGCTTCAATATTTTCCACTGTGTGCCAATAAAGTTACTATGATGAGGAAATGAGTTGCCGGCTAAATTGTCACATATCTTGGATTGAAAAACCAGCCTGAGCACCAGCACCCCACTGATGAGCAGTAGAGCTCGGGTGAGTCCTTGTCTGTATATATGGGGATTCACCTTGCTCCGTTAGGGACACGGCTCCTGTCCTTGGCTCTATGTGGATCCAGCTGTCATCTGATTGGATGATTGTGTAGCGTAAGGCAGCATTCTCTGTGGTTGGGTCGTCTCCGTCTGTGGCCACCACATGCAGGAAAGAGACCCCTACAATGATATAAAACATAATAGAAGTGAGAAGATAGAGTGTTCAGAGAGATGGAGGCAATTATGATGATAGAGGCAGTTATGATGATGGAGGCTGTAATGATGATGGAATTAGTTATGATGATGGAGGCAATTATGGTGATGGAGGATGTAATGATTATGAAGGATGTAATGATGATGGAGGTAGTTATGATGATGGAGGCAGTTATGATGTTGGAGGCATTTATGATGTTGGAGGCAGTTATGATGATGGAGGCATTTATGATGATGGAGGCAGTTATGGTGATGGAGGCTGTTATGATGATGGAGGCAGTTATGTGCTGGGATAATGTAGCCTGTTCTACTTTTTTTTTCAGCATCCGGAATGCACTGGAACTGCAAGCACTGATGTGAACTATGACATTGACAATCATGTAACCTATATTCTGTGCGGTTTGAATGCAGAAAAAAAGCAGCTGAAACGCATGGAGTGTGAACTGGCCCTCAAGGAAGTAGGTATTGTCAGTCACTTCCAGAATCTCCTTTTACTCTGGCTGACAACATGCTGCAGAGATTCCACTGTCAAAACATGAGAACTGCGTTCAATGATCTTCCCGCTTTCATTCAATCATTTTTTTATCTCCTTGGATCAGTTTGGTGAAACACAATGAGATTTGATGTAACAAAGCAGTCTGTGTCTCTGCCCCTCCCACAATGGTGAGATTTCCCTCCAGTAGTTTGTGTCGCTACCCCTCCCACAATGGTGAGATCCCCCCACCCCCAACTAGCTTGTGTCTCTGCCCCTCCCACAATGGTGAGATTCCCCCCCCAACTAGCTTGTGCCTCTGCCCCTCCCGCAATGGTGAGAAGTCCCCTCACTAGTTTGTGTCTCTGCCCCTCCCACAATGGTGAGATCCCCCCACTAGTTTGTGTCTCTGCCCCTCCCACAATTGTGAGATTCTCCCCCCCCACTAGTTTGTGTCTCTGCCCCTCCCACAATGGTGAGATTTCCCTCCCCCACTAGCTTCTGCCTCTGCCCCTCCCACAATGCTGAGATCCCTCCCACTAGTTTGTGTCTCTGCCCCTCCCCCAATGGTGAAATTTCCTCCCAGTAGTTTGTGTCTCTGCCCCTCCCCCAATGGTGAGATTCCCCCACACTAGTTTGAATTTCTGCCCCTCCCACAATGGTGAGATTTCCTCCCAGTAGTTTGTGTCTCTGCCCCTCCCACAATGGTGAGATCCCCCCCCACACTAGTTTGTGTCTCTGCCACTCCAACAATGATGAGATTCCCCCCCCCCCCAACTAGTTTGTGTCTCTGCCCCTCCCACAATGCTGAGATCCCCCCCCACTAGTTTGTGTCTCTGCCCCCCCCCAATGGTGAGATTCCCCCCCCACTAGTTTGTGTCTCTGCCCCTCCCACAATGGTGAGATCCCCCACTAGTTTGTGTCTCTGCCCCTCCCACAATGGTGAGATCCCCCCCCCCACACTAGTTTGTGTCTCTGCCCCTCCAACAATGATGAGATTCCCCCCCCCAACTAGTTTGTGTCTCTGCCCCTCCCACAATGGTGAGATCCCCCCCCACTAGTTTGTGTCTCTGCTCCCCCCCCCCCACAATGGTGAGATTCCCCCCCACTAGTTTGTGTCTCTGCCCCTCCCACAATGGTGAGATCCCCACTAGTTTGTGTCTCTGCCCCTCCCACAATGGTGAGATCCCCACTAGTTTGTGTCTCTGCCCCTCCCACAATGGTGAGATCCCCACTAGTTTGTGTCTCTGCCCCTCCCACAATGGTGATAATACCGGTGTCACTATGCGGAGAGTTTGTTTACCTCGAACTGAAACAAACTAGAAAGAAAACAATGAGACATAATATCATATTGGGGGGGGGGGGGTCTGGGGGTCTTTTCTTAGCTCCTGCAGCAGTTTTGGGAATGGCTCTGGACGGAGTTGGTTGATTTGCTGGAACTATCAGCTGCTGATAAGACAAGCTGGCCGGGAGATTAGGGGGGCTATAATGGGCCGGTATCTCTGTGCTGACATTTTAGCGGGTGGCCGGTTGTGTGTGGGAAGCTTTGCATTGACATCCATCACAGCCCCACCGACACAAGAGGACTTGGAACAATCAGTCACATGTGTTACTGTACTTTCCCTCTTTGTTTCCATCTCCAGAATGTCATCTATAAAAGGCTCATTTAATCCCACCTTGCCCCCCCCCCCCCCCGGCCTCACATGCTGGGAACAATATGAGGGTATTAGTCTGCCCCGGGGAGCACTTATAGGATGACAGACATATGACATATCCATCGCTTTTCTCCACAATAACGGCCTGTATTCTGCCACAAATAGGGGTCTATATCCACAGAGACACAGCCCCGGAAATACAAGGTGTACCTGAGCCTGGGGGACATACAGTTTTCCCAGAGATGCTCCAGAGTCACATGATGATAACAAAATGGAACAGAAAGCTCTGGGGTCTCAGGGTGACACAAGATGCTGCGGAGTCACTGCATGTAGGAGCACAGGAGTCACTGGGGACACTGAACTGAAGACACAGAGGTCACTGGAGAGCATAGAAGTGCTGGGGACTCCAAGGTCACAGAGTCTTAGGGAACACAGGGAGCAGGGGTCACAGTGGAGACACAGGAGTGCAGGAGTCACACGAGACGCTGGAGTGTAGGAGCCACAGGGGGTACAGGAGTGTAGGAGTCACAGATGGGGTACAGGAGTCACAGGAGATGCAGGAGTGTAGGAGTCACAGGAGATGCAGGAGTGTAGAAGTCACAGGGGGTACAGGAGTGTAGGAGTCACAGGAGATGCAGGAGTGTAGAAGTCACAGGGGGTACAGGAGTGTAGGAGTCACAGGAGATGCAGGAGTGTAGGAGTCACAGGAGATGCAGGAGTGTAGAAGTCACAGGGGGTACAGGAGTGTAGGAGTCACAGGAGATGCAGGGAGTGTAGAAGTCACAGGGGGTACAGGAGTGTAGGAGTCACAGGAGATGCAGGAGTGTAGAAGTCACAGGGGGTACAGGAGTGTAGGAGTCACAGGAGATGCAGGAGTGTAGGAGTCACAGGGGATACAGGAGTGTAGGAGTCACAGGAGATGCAGGAGTGTAGGAGTCACAGTAGGTACAGGAGTCACAGGAGACACAGGACTGCAGGAGTCACAGGAGTGCAGGAGTCACAGGAGTGCAGGAGTCACAGGAGACACAGGACTTCAGTGCAGGAGTCACAGGAGACACAGTACTGCAGGAGTCACAGGAGACACAGGAGCGCAGGAGTCACAGGAGTGCAGGAGTCACAGGAGACACAGGAGTGCAGGAGTCATAGGAGACACAGGAGTGCAGGGGTCACAGGAGACACAGAGACTTCAGGAGTGCAGGAGTCACAGGAGACACAGTACTGCAGGAGTCACAGGAGACACAGGAGTGCAGAAGTCACAGGAGGAGTGCAGGAGTCACAGGAGACACAGGAGTGCAGG